TTTTTTTAATTTTTTTGTTTTTTTTTTTGAGGTATGTTGCAAAATTTCGGAAATATTAGGGAAATGACCAAACGCTGAAGTTCCATACTCTATAACTCAACTTATCTTAATCGGATTTTGAAGTGGAATACCTCTAAATATTTCTGACGCAATTCTCTAAAAATCTGCATTCAAATTAAGAAATTTATTTTGTTTTAGTTTATTTGTAATTTTTCTGTCGAAAAAATTAAGGAAATGACCCAAAGCTGAAGCTCCAAACTGTAATACTCCATAAGTGGAATAACTCTAAATATTTTTGGCGCAATTATCTAAAAATCTGCATACAAATTTAGACAATTTTTTTAATTTATAATTTATATAATATAATTTATAATATAATTTATAATTTATAATTTGTTCCCCATTTCTACCGATATTCCAGAAAATGTTGAAATTTCTCGTTTGCACTTTCAACAGCAACAATAGTAACGGGTATCTGATAGTCGGGGGACTCGTACTTTGACACCGCACTTGCAACTTGGTTTATTTGCTAGTTTCAGGAATTAAAAGAAATCTCCTTAGACTTTATGCTTTATGCGAGTGCAACAGTGCGTATGCGTGTTAAAAGTCCTTGTTGTAGGAAAAGTACTTTAGAAATGCATGAAAATTGAATTGCTAGTCTGCAGACATTTCGCTTTAAATTATTTTATACCATTTGCTAGCAATATATTTTATCGGCCAACTACTAAGCAAGATTTTGGCCTGAATTTTAACATGAAGCAAACTTTTACCGATACAAGTTTATATAGAGCTATGGAATAGAATACAATCGCGTTAAAGAGGTGAAAAATAAAATTTGACTCAAGGTCTTGCCAAACTTTTCCAATTCAATTTGAAACGTCGGACATGTCAACACACGGCTTTTCCAAGCAGTTATTTTCAAAGGAAAAACACAACAGACTTAGATTTGCAAAAGGGTAAAGCCCACACACACACTAGCCAATATATAATACATATACGGCACACAAGAGCACATAAAATTGCATTACAAACACAAATACGGGTAGTACGCGTATAAAGCTCCGGAACACATTTGGCATTTACTGTCAGTCAATCTCCATTAAGTCCATCCCCAACACCTTATTGAATTTTATTGTAAATTGGAAAGAAAAAAATTGCAGCGACTGCAAAAGGCCAAATGGGAGCTGGAAAAACCAGGCAAGCGAACAGCAAACGTGGTGCAAGGATTTGTGAAAAAAGGAATGGAAATTGAAAAGGAAAATATATGGCAGAAGTTCGAGAGCGTTTGCATTGGCAGAGAAGTTTTCAATTAATTTGCATAAATGGCCAAACGATTATGTAATTTGTATTCGCCACATAAATTACCACGCAATGCAAATAGTTCCCAAATATGCGGCCCACTGCAGAAAGGACTCAAATGGGCGGAGGTCCTGCGAGAGGGATCAGCTTATTAGGAGCGAATGAAACGGCCAACTATCAATAAATTACCAACTGGGGCGTGGCAGCTCCTGTGTCCCAAAACCACAAAAGGCACTCACATTAGAGTTGCAACTCGACTGGCTCTTATGAACTAGAGATACACGAGCCTAGAATTGCTGAACAATTATAAAACCCAAGGGAGTTAATGTTTTAATTACATTTATTTAACATTATTCTGTCACTAAGCTTGCAGTTAATTGGGCTTGCTTTATGCTCCACGAAAATGCTGTAGTGATAAATAAAGGTAGTTTATTCTATGTATATTCTTTTTAAATAAGAGTTATATAGGTTGCACATAAGAACTAGCCTTAAAAGGCCTATCATGGCGATCAGTTCATCAGCCACGAACCGAACTAGCTCCTTTGGGGCCTCAGCTCCATCCGTGATGCCCCTTGACAAATTTTTGGGGCTCTGGCATTTCGGTTGTACTTGGGTAGGTGCCTTTTGCCAGGGACCACAAATTTTATGCACGTTATAAATCACGGCCAAACAACGGCGACAACGAGCGTCGACGACGACTGCAAAACTGTTCACATTAATTGTTGCAACGTCATTTTCGGGCCTATTGTATTTTGGCCAGCAGCACACCCTTCGCCACCAAAACCAAAACCCAGCGCAGCCAAATCCCCAACTCACATTCGGTGGAGCCGGCCAATAAAAGGCGCATTCTGTATGTGCTCCAGACGCCTTTGTGTCACGTGGCCATTTTCGCAAAGGAATTCCAACAATGTAGACATTTTCCCTACAGCAAATAATCGCGGGCCAACAAAAAATATAGAAAGTCCAACTACTTTATACTTTTTTTGTGCCCAGCATAGGCAAATGGTTACTAGCCGGAGTCCATAAAAAAATGCTGTTTAGTAGCTGGATTTGTGGATTTCTGGATTTGTCAAAGGCTCGGCGACGAAACGCGGATACTGAAAATCTGCCACGTTTTCCCTGCCCATATTCGTAATTTCACATTTGCGACACAAAAGGCCAATGGACATAACTACCGGTTTTTGTTGACGGCAAAGGAATGCCTTAGTTAATGGGGCTGGGATTTTGCCTTAGGCAATATTTTAAAATACACACACTTTTGAAACTATTCGGGCTTTACCTTAAAAATCGCAGAATAAATGTAAGTTTAGATGTAGTATTAACTATTAAACAGCTTTGCTATCTTTTACAGCCCAGTCTGCGCGCACATGACCACATTTACATGCCAACTTTCGTATCGCATGGATGCGTATCCACGTTAAAAGATAATCCCGGTAAATACATAAAATGCAGGCCCCAACACTCGAAAGCAAAGTTATGAACTGAGGCGTCGGGTGGTCCAAAAACAGCAAAAGGGCGTCGTTAATATTTCAAAAACAGAAACACAGCCGAAACGAAACGAAACGAAATGAAAACATGACAAAGACATAAACACCGACAGAAGCGACAAACAACAGCAGCAGGAAATGGGAGATATGGTCTCGAAATACTTGGACAATTGCACAACGAGCCCACACTTGAGTTTTCCGGGTCCATTCGGAATATTAAGGCATATTTGCCGCTTGGTCAGCGATTCCGGGCGGAAAGGTAAATGAGTAAGTGCGACGGGGTGAAAAGCCCTTCGTGGGGCACTGAATTTATGGCCAGCAAGGACACCTTTGGATAATCAGGCTGGGGATACCCTCTACTTATACGTTGCATGCCAACGAGGTGTGCGGCTTGGTTTCGGTTACTCAAGGTTTTAAAATAATACTTTCAAAAGCTACCTGCAGTAAATATACGCCCTTCAATACTGATTTTATTTAAGAAACAATTTGGGGGCTATGTGAGTTTTTTGCTAATTTAGAAATATGAGCACACAACTTGCAAGTCAAGATATTTTCCAGGGTTAGTAATAGACTAATCTGTGAGTTGGTTGTATCTATCAGTGCGGCGCAAGCTTCCGATCGAAATTAAAATACAGTGTGGCAAATATTTTAGGTATGGGGGAAAAGGATGACCAGGATGTCAAGGATGTGTGCGTGTGTGGGGTCAAATTAATTGTTGACAGCGCAACATCTTCGAGTCCCCCAAACTGAGATGCCTACAGGAAGTTTTGGGTTAAGTGTTTCCTGACACCAAGCCCATTTATCACCGCCCAACGTGCAAAGTGCAAAGGTCCCACCAGAGCCATGGTTCATTTTTTTTTAGCTTAAAACTCTTTCAAGTTCTCATTATTATAAAAATTCATGTTTTTGTAGTTTAAAACTCTTTCAAGTTCTCGTTATTATAAAAATTCATTTTTTTTAGCTTAAAATTCTTTCAAGTTCTCATTATTATAAAAATTCATTTTTTTTAGTTTAAAACTCTTTCAAGTTCTCATTATTATAAAAATTCATTTTTTTTAGCTTAAAACTCTTTCAAGTTCTCATTATTATAAAAATTCATTTTTTTTAGTTTAAAACTCTTTCAAGTTCTCGTTATTATAAAAATTGCTTCACAATGAGTTGGACCAGATTGTTCAGAGTCAAAGAAATTGCAAAACAGGAAATGATTAATATTATATTACAAAATTTGTTTGCCAGAGAATAAAAATAGGCCGCACGAATTTATACTGCTCAGAATCATTTAGTGTTTCGCTGAGAATGTACGTCTGTTCTGCCGCTTTCCTTGGGATCATTATCCTGCTGCTCCTTATGAGCAGCACTGCAAAGGCATTCGATCCTGAAAAGAAGAATATTACCTCAGTGGAAGCCGTCCCGAAGGATGGATGGAAGGCAAACCCATTTCAATATAACGACGTTAACGAACAAAACGAAAACGAAAAGAAAAATTAGTGAAAGTGTGTTGGTATTAAACAGAAAGCAAAAAAAAAACAGATCTGGTGAAGTGTAAAACTATAAATGTATATTAATACATTAGTGAAAAAAAAAATATAGCAACGATTCGTTGTATTGTATATTATAATATTAATAATAATATTAATTGCCTGCTCACAAAGCGATAAGAAGTATTTTTAAAACTCTTTCAAGTTCTCGTTATTATAAAAATTAATTTTTTTGTTTAAAACTCTTTCAAGTTCTCTTTATTATAAAAATTGCATCACAACAATGAGTTGGACCAGATTGTTCAGAGTCAAAGAAATTGCAAAACAGGAAATGATTAATATTATATTACAAAATTTGTTTGCCAGAGAATAAAAATAGGCCGCACGAATTTATACTGCTCAGAATCATTTAGTGTTTCGCTGAGAATGTACGTCTGTTCTGCCGCTTTCCTTGGGATCATTATCCTGCTGCTCCTTATGAGCAGCACTGCAAAGGCATTCGATCCTGAAAAGATGAATATTACCTCAGTGGCGGCCACCCCGAAGAATGGATTTGGCGCAAACCCATTTCAATATAACGACGTTAACGAACAAAACGAAAATGAAAAGGAAAATTAGTGAAAGTGTGTTGGTATTAAACAGAAAGCAAAAAAAAAACAGATCTGGTGAAGTGTAAAACTATAAATGTATATTAATACATTAGTGAAAAAAAAAATATAGCAACGATTCGTTGTATTGTATATTAATATATTAATAATAATATTAATTGCCTGCTCACAAAGCGATAAGAAGTATTTGATTTAATCGAATAAAAAACCCAAAAACCAAGCGCCAAAGGGAGGGCATCGGATGCTCCCCCCACAATCAATTGTTTCGGAATTGTTTTTCATAAAAAACGTGGCCGTATTTTAATGCTCAATGAACAGAAAGATTCAGTCAGCTGCCCAGAATGCACGCAAATTTCATCTGGGCTCTCAGAATAATATATCTGCTGTGCCCGATCCTGTTCCTGGCACAGCTCTCGGCCCAAGACACCGATGTGCCCTTCAATCCTGAAAATATGGACAACAGCTCGGTACCGGCCACCCCAAAATCTCTTCGCATTCCAAATTGGCCAGCACAATTAGGCACTACAAAAACTGAAGTTAAGATCGGCACTAGAATTAACGAGGAACACGGTAATTCGGTAAGTATACAAAGTTTATAAATATTTGTTCCATTGTCGGCTTTTGTTTTGCCTTAATACATATACATGTATATATATTTTTCTTTTTATTCAATTGGCACCTAGAAATGGCACCCAGACAGTCCGGCGCAGTCCCTGCACAATCGCAGATTGGACTCGAAACAACCTCGAATCGCTTATCAAAAAGTAGAAAACAACAGGTTTTTGTGATGGAATTTAAATGTATCTGAGCGCCAGCAGATAGGGAACAAGTTCTGATGGCTAAATCTCACAGTTCAACATCAAGGTCATAGCACAACATGCACTAATGAAAATGTATGCATTAAACTCGCTTCATAACATTAAAATATAAAATCTAAAGGGCTCATGGAGTGTGTTCTGTATACTAGTTTGTAAGGAAGGCGCCATACAAAAGGGTGCGCCAACTGTTTCAGCACACAGTCTGCTTCCCGGAGTCACCATGATCGCTCGTATCGCTTTTTACATTCTGCCAGTCCTGATTATTGGGGGTCTGGTGGAGATTGAGGGTCTTCCGAGCGCAGGAGACGTACAAGATTCCCGAAAGATCCTTCTCGACCAAGACGACCTGTTCATAAGCTGCTGTCGCAGCCTCAGGAAGTCTGATCCCAGCGACAATTGCCAGTCTTGTGAGGACCAATTCAGATCCATGGAACCAGTTACGGAGGCATCCCAAAGCACTCAAGTGCGCAACATACTGGGAGTTCAGTGTGTTAAAACTCATATAGGATGCCAGCAAAGTCACAAAATCAATTCCGCGGACACAGACAACGGTAAAAAGGAATTGCCAATTTAATGCTGGGCAAAACATTTTGAATTGCGTTTCCATGATATAAAAGCACATAATAAAGCACATCCATTTACATTAATAACTTTTCAGTTCTGTGCAAATTCCTTTGTTTATTTGGCGGCATAATTTGAATATGTTTATCGATTGGGCAGCACGGTGCACTTCGAAAGAGCTGCCACATCAACGCACAGCTGATTTTGTTATTGTTTGGAAAGTGATCAATTTGAAACAATTTCTGTTTTTAAGTGATTGCTTTTAAACCCTACAACTTATGAAGTCAACAAAATATTCAGTGCATCCGTAAAACATGACGCAAGAACGAAAACGGATACGCAACTGAAATGGTTTTAGGCACCCAAAAATAAGTAACCACAAATCAAGAAACGCTTTAAAAACAAGCCAAATTTATTAATTTCCTGTAACAAAGCCCGCAAGGACAGTCTCCAGCATTACCGACACCCTAAGCTCTCCATCAATTAGTTGATCATAAGCACAATCATAAAGCATCTACTAGTTCTTCAGCGGAAATGGAGGCACCCAGCCGCCAAAAGTGCGCTCCAGTTCCTCGGCGACCGCCAGGCAAAGGCGATCGTTGTTCGGATTGGCCACCACTTGGATGCCCAGCGGCATGCCCTTGGAGTCCAGACCCATGGGCACCTGTGTGGCCGGCAGGTGGAGCACATTGAAGAGGCTGAAGTACGTAAAATCATTGAACTTGAACAGGGGATAGTAGTGGAATGGTGCCGTCCTCGGAGAGCTGTGGAAAAACAGCACACCATCATCGCCGAGCAAGTCCTGAACGGACTTCCTGCACTTGGACGTGGCTTCCCTCATCAGCTTCTCCTTTTCCTTGGGCAGCACACTGTCGATCAGGCTATAAATGGACGCCATGCTGTAGTCACTTTGACCTAATATCTTCTTGAAGAGCTCAACGAATGGATTGAGCTCGGCGCCGTTTCCCAGCAACAGGTTGAAGTTGGCCGGCTCCTGGGTCATCCAATAGCGCCACATTTTTCCGGTCAGCTTGGTATTGGGTAGGTTGGCGTGTTGCACGTCCTTTCCACTCACTCCCTCGAAATGTTTGCGTATCTTGTACATCACCCGTTCGGTTTCCCGGTTGATAGGATTGCACTGCGCCATGCCGTTGGAGGACACATAGAAGTAGCGCAACCGCTTCAGATCCACCTTCTCATCCAGTTTTAGCTTGGATTTCAGCGACGGCTCCAGCAGAACTTGCATCATGGGCAGTAGATCTCGCGCGGATCGACTGATTGGACCGGCAACTACCATTGTTTCCTTTTCCTTGCCGGTCCTGAACGTACATCCGGCCATATTGACCGCACCGGAAGTGGGCTTGTGCCCGAAGACGCCGCAATTGAAGGCCGGTATGCGTATGGAACCACCAATGTCTGTTCCCAAACCGAAACCCGTACAGCAGGCGGCGATCAGTGCAGCCTCGCCACCCGAAGAACCGCCCGCGGAACGCCGCAGATCGTAGGGATTGTTGGTGCAGCCAATTAACATGTTCCGCGACTCAATCCACTTGTTGACCTCCGGCACATTGCTGGTGGCGATGATAATGGCGCCACTATCCTTCATCAGGCGCACGCATTCGGCATCCGTGCTCGAACGTTCCGATTTCCGGCTGAGCAGGCCCAGTGTGTGCAGCTTGCCAGCCACAGCGGTGCTATCCTTGGTGGTGAAGGGCACGCCCAGGAAGGGCAGGCGTCGCAGCTCCTCATCGCTGTACTCCTTCTCGGCCAACTTGCGATCGATTTCGCGTGCCTGGTCCAAGGCCTCCGCAAAGGGGCCATCGACCACCGCATTCAGTTCCCGATTGACGCTCTCGATCCGCTCACAGTACGCCTTCACTATGTCGTAACTGCGCAGCCTGCGCTCCCGTATCTGTTGGGCCAACTCCACGGCGCTCCTCGTCAGCGTCGCCTGCAGTTCCAGGCTCGGCGGACCCGACACCCGTTTGTGCTCGCCCAGGTACCAGCCCAGCACGAGCTCCAGCAGGCGATCGCTCAGGATGTGGACCAGTGCCAGCAGGGCCTCCAGTACGTGGCTCCAAAATGACATGATGACGCCCCTTTTCTTGGTTTCCGCTGAGTTTTGCACTTTGCGCAATGCATTGGCAAACTGAAACCGAGCCAAAGACCACTGAGGTTGCGATAAACCCAAGACGTTGCCAGCCGATATGGTGAAAAGCTGGCGGGGAGAGCTTTGATGCAAACCAGTTTGGGCGGCAGGTACAGTGGGCACCGGCTAGGATGGCCTTTTATCCTGTTCACAGGGTTAGGAAACCCAAAAAGGATCATGTGCTCAAGCTTGTAAAAAAGTTGTTAAAATCAAATATGTATCTAAATATCTTATCTAAATTTAAATTATCTAAATATTAAATATCCAAGTCTAATATTTAATATTCCATACTTGACAAAAGTTATAAAGATTCCAGTTAGATTGCTCTAGATTTCAGTCTTGTGTAAATTTGTGTTGAATAAATAACGCAAAGTAAACCAATTTTAATTTTGAAATAAATAAAACGTTTGCTTTGCGCCATTATCCTGCATTGAAAAAGTTGGTTTTATGTAAAAGCAAAGATTTTTTCTCAGATTTTTTCTGCTGATGTGAAAACTGACACCGATAACTGCTTGCTATCGCCGCACATCGGCGCGGCCAGCGCGCATGAACAGCTGAGCGCGGAGCCCCCCAACGCGCCGGTCGCACCGTGCAGAGGCCGCCGCGCACTCAACCAGCCATCAAATCGACGAATATCGATTCGCAGCTGCTGCAGATGTTTTTTGGTCAACAAAACAAAACAGCCGCCGCTGCGCCGCCGAGCAAGCACAGAAATCGAGAAAGTCGGTCAGAGGGAACCCGAAATAATCGCGAGTTGTGAATTAAATGCGCTAAAATCGCGGTGGCCCAGTGCAGTGCGGACACAAAGCCAATCAACTTGCAGCCCCAGCAGCTCGTATTGGATTTTCGAATTTGAGAGCAGTGTACGTAGACCGGCAGCACGAATAGCAGATACCCTGCCCGGTCCGGGCTCGATCACCCCCGAGTAATCAAAAGTCCCGCTGTTATCTGCACAGTGAATCATATTTTAATTGGCATTGCTCATAGAAAACGGCCTATCTGGATATTTCGATAGTGTGTCACATACGTAACGCATTAGTCAGCATGCTCTTGCTACCCCGTCGGCGTGAAAATAGAAAGTTAGCGAACTTAAATGTGCATTTGCCCAGCTATTCACCATTTTTGCGCCACTCGCAGGCGCCCATTTACAGCGAAAACCAAACAAAATGCCCATTTACAAGTCGTTTAAAATTGCAATTACCGGTTAAAAGGCCAGAACCATGTGTTAAATGCTACCTGCTGAAATGTGGAGTGTGCGCTTGTTTGTTTGCCTGGGAATATTCGCAACTGCTCATTTTCCAACGCATTTCTTATTCATTCGATGGCCCAGTTGCTATGCACACTTATTTCTAGTTTTTAATCTGGCCGATTAATTTTCCTTGGCATTATCTTTGGCACTCGAGTTTAGAGGGTGTGTGGTTTTATGGCCTAGCCAGCGCTTTGTTTTTACCTTTTTGTTGTGCCCGCCCAGGTGTTTTCGGCTCGCCTGATGAGTGACGTTATCAGCAGAACTGCGAACGTGTCGTGACACGAGTGTGCGTGTCTTTATTCGCGCAGTGTATCATTTGAGATAGGTCAGCGTCAGCAATCGTTAGAATCCACCTTCCCAGTTTTACGGCCCCCACTTAACAAAAAGTCGAGCATTAATGCAATATAATTAGAAAGTACTTGTTCAAGTATCCCAGCTGATGGTGGGCATGAATAACCATTAAAGCCTTAAAGGCGTCCAATTTATAAGCGCCCCAAGTTCACGACTAGCATTTAGAAAATTTCAGACTCGTCTTCGCGTTTTTTAACTTAAGGCGGGTTTATCTGCGGCCAAATACGCGCTCACCTTTAACACGCAACATTCGCCGCTCGCCGCTGATTGCCTTAACTGCTTATGAATCCGTCAGATAATCAACCTTTGGGATAGCAAGGCACTCAGAAAAACGTAAACATCTCATGGAGCAATGAACCGTTGATCTATCAGACACAAAACCCGATCTACACTACACATTTTAAAATGCCAACAGCTCTCCCTTTCAAGCAATTCATATCGATTTTGGAGTAAATAGGTATTTAGAACCTTAGTAAACTTAAATGGCATATTGTGAAAATGAAACATGTATATATGCTTATTGCTGTGACAGTTTGGGGCACATCTTTTCTTCGAGTGCATGCGATATCTCAGCAAACAGCGAGTTTATGGCAGTGTGTTTGTGTGTCATGTCTGTTAAGTGGGGCCGCCTGCTTGACAGTTGATTCGTCAAATAGCAGCGCCCTCGACGCTGTTTTCCCTATTTTTTTCAGTCAGCTACCTGGTCATATTCTCATCGTAGCGACGCACGTTCTTTTCCATTTCCACAGGTGAAGCGCAGCGCGATGGAGAGGAATCCAGTGGGTGAGTCCAGTGGACAGGAGGAGCAGAAGACGCCCAGTGCCGCCGAGTATATGAGGAACTTCAAGAACATCATAGCGCCGGGAAACGAGGCATCCATGACCCGGGAATTCAATCCGCAGGTGGCATACGAATTCGAAAAGTATCTCAATCCGCAGAAGCTCAAGCAGCACGTCCTCAGAAGCGAGAAGCTGCGCTCCATACTGGAGCACTATGCCAAGGAGTCGGGCACGCCGCTTAAGCAGATGGAGCGCCAGGCCAGGGCGATCATCGATGAAATCGGTCTGGAGCGCAACATGGCCATCATCCGGTGGTGCGGCATAGCCATCACGGCGATCGGCAAGCGGATCTGCGACGGCTTCTATGTCAACTCGGCCAGCATGGCCAATGTGCGCAAAGATATGGGCAAGTGCCCGGTGCTCTACCTCCCGAGTCATCGCAGCTACATGGACTTCATCCTGATGTCCTACATCTGCTACTACTACGACATCGAGATACCAGGAATAGCAGCCGGCATGGGTACGATACGTCGAACGCTAGAAGATATTGCAACTGCGCGGAAAATGTGTTGAAAATATTAAACGGGTTTATGTGTTCCGCTAATTAAACGCTGATTTTTAAATGTGTTTGCCCAGTAATTAGCATGAATTAGCCACAGATTTGCTAATTTTTGTGTTAAAATTCTTAACCGCCCAATAATATTAATAGTTGTTAGCAGGTTAATTGTTTAGTTGCTGAAAACATTTCGTTAATTATCGTTTATTTCGTTGATTTTCATAGATTTCCACTCCATGTTTGGAATGGGCACCATGTTGAGGAAAACAGGAGCCTTCTTCATGCGCCGCAGCTTCTCCAACGACGAGCTGTACTGGGACATTTTCCGGGAGTACATGTACGCCCTGGTGGCCAACTACCACATCGGCGTGGAGTTCTTCATCGAGGGCACGCGCTCCAGGAACTTCAAAGCCCTAGTGCCCAAAATAGGCCTCCTTTCGATGGCTCTGTTGCCCTACTTCACCGGCGAAGTGCCGGATGTGATGATTGTGCCAGTGAGTGTGGCCTATGAGCGAGTCCTGGAGGAGCAACTGTTCGTCTACGAGCTGCTGGGCGTGCCCAAGCCCAAGGAGTCCACAAAGGGCTTCTTCAAAGCGCTGAAAATCATCGACGAACGATTCGGCAAGATGTTCCTCGACTTCGGAGAGCCCATCTCTGTCAAGGAATTCTTCGGGCACGACAGTGCGCAGCGAATGCAGCGGGCAGGCGTCGGCGGCCACCTGCAGAAGCTGAACCGACAGGAGGTGGAACTGGTCAAGCAGCTGGCCAATGAGATCATCTACCAGCAGCAGCGACGCATTGTGATCTCCACGTTCAACCTGCTCAGCCTCTACTACGCCAGTCAGTTGTATGCCCAAAAGAGTGTTACCCTCGACGAGCTAGCCCGGGGTGTGCTGCATCTGAAGCGCATCTTCGAGCAGCTGGGCGCCCATGTCAGCACGACGCCCAGCAGCATTAAGGCGGATGTGATTGATGCTGTGGAGATACACGCGAATATTTTACATTTCGCGGCGGGCCGTTTGCAGTTTACGCCGATGGCAGCCAAGCAATTGGCGGAACAAATCGATGTTAGGCGCCTCAAAGCTCATGCCCTGTGTCCACAAACCATGGCGGTGGCCGTTCCCATGCTGGCACTGCAGCTCTACATTAATCCGTGCATGTTCTGGCTGGCCAGACCCGCATACCTGCTGCTGGCAGCGCTCAAGGAGCAGAGGAATCAAGAGAGGAAGCAGTCGACGGACATCTCATACGATGCCAGCTTGTGTGCCCTGCATGCGCACGTGACCACCATGGACGCCCTTTTCCAGCACGAGTTCATCATTGAGTCGAATCGCGAGGCAGCCGAGTTTGAGACGCATCTGCAGCTGCTCCTGGACGAACGGGTGGTGGAGGTGGAGAGCAGTGGCCGGATCAAGGTGCAGGACAATGAATGCTCCCATGTCATTCTGGCCGCCCTGGCGCCATTCCTGTGCCTCTACTACCAGCTGGTGGTCACGTTAAGAAAGGTGGGTACCTAGTAATTTCCCGGATAAATCGATATGTGAAATACGCTCTTTCTTGCAGATCCCTTTGGAGCTGGAGTTCAGTAACAAGGATCTGCTGGTGCGCGTCCAGCAGCACGTGGAGCAGCTCCTGCAGCAACCCGGAGCTTCTGCCTCTCACGTGCATCCATATTGCCTGGCCCTGGACAATCTGAACATTGCCATCTATGCTCTGATCCAGCGGGGCTACCTCGCGAAGTGTAGGGACTCGGGACAGCTGAAGATCGCATCCACTCCGGGAAAGTGCCTGCGAGAACTGGAAAACCAGCTACTCGAGTACTGTCAACTAATGCCATTTGCTCAATACTCGACGGCGGCCAACCAGCAGGCCCAGTTCCACATAGCCAAGTTATAACTGGCAAACGGAAAGAGGCCGGCGGGGGAGACGACTGGGGAGAGGGACAGCGATTCGAGTAGCGATACCCAGTCGAGTCCCAAACAGTGTAGTACAATTACCTTTTCATTGCCCATGCAGTTCATCCAGTTTGTTGTCGGCCTGCTCAAGAATTGTCGCATCATCTGCATCCTCTTCTTCATTGTGGTGGTGGCGCCGCTTTGGCAGCTGCTCCACTGGATCATCGTATCCACCCACTCATTCACGTAGGTTTATGGGGTGTCTGGTTAGGATGGGTCGATTCATATAGTATCCTCTAGTGTCCGGTTTGATGAACATTTATATTGGCATAATTTATATTCCCCATTTGTCACCTGCTATTTTAAGAGTTTTGATTAATGTACATAAAGATTCCCATTCCTGAGAAGTCAAAAGAGCTCATCAAAAAATGAATATAGAAAGTCAATGCTAGGATAACAGTTTTTGGCTAGCAAAGTCGATCCATCCTTGAGTGTGAGTGCATCTGAGTGCTTAGAGAATCTTCAAGCCTAACAACTGATATTTTATGTCCAGTTCGCCATGAAGCGAAATTCACTAGACCGCCAAGACATACACTTGCAAAAAAGTCGAATTTCGATCGAAAATGTATAGATAAGTCGGTTAGTGGTAGATCCCATCGAAATATATATCCCATATATTTTTAGCCGAGGAATTCGTAGAAATGTTGCCAACAAATCGCAACATTGAAAGCACATTCACATTTTGAACGAAAACCAGTCACTTCTTATTATTTAGTTGGGTAGGTTATATGAGATTTCAAAAATGTTTCTTTATCCAGCTTCGCAGTTCTGTACAATTCGCATGGCGTAAATGGGTTTAAAGTTTCTAATTTTTGCATTAGAGTGATGAACGCATTTTTGTTTAATTTTAAGGTAGTTTATCGTATAGGTTTTTCTTAGTTTAAGCCGGTGTTAAGTTTGTTTCAGCTTTGTATCCTAAGTTGGTTACGCTCATCAGCCCTGCATTATTTTAAAATATTCCATTGTGCCAATAGCAAAGTCAGCACCACACAAACAAAAAATAAATAAAAAACTTGCCCTAGTTGTAAACAAAAATGGTTGATACGAAATCAGATCCCACAAGGGTTTAGGTCCGATTATTGCTAGAGAAAACCCCAGCACAAAAATGTCAGTGAAGTGCAATACAAATATTATCTTTAAATATATTTTTAGAGATTGTTTCGCTTTTATTTTTGGTAGGTACTTTTACATTTGAATAGAATTTAAAACAAGAAAATAAAAATAGTCGTAACTACACCCGCTAATAAACCAACAAAAACGAGAGCAATAATAAACATTTAGTCGGTGCCAGTTGCGCCTCAGAAATTTATCCGTAGGACTTCAAATTTCAGCGGCAGAACTGTCGCTTGAACTGATCCAGTGTGCGTTGGCTGATGACCACGTGCATCATAAGGCGTTCGGGATTCTCCGCATCCGCTGTCGTGTCCACCACGGCTGCGTTTTTGTAGAGCCAGGCCATTTCTGGTCCGCCGCTGGGCACACGCATCTGCAGTTTTCTTCGCCCGGTGGCGGTCAGTATCTGTTGCTCGATGTCATCTAGCAGGGGTTCCAGCCCAGTCTGCGTTCTAGCTGATATATGATGCACTGACTCTGAAGACGGCTGAGCTTCTGAGGAAACAAGATCGCATTTGTTGTACACATTAATGATCGGCGGCAACTGGCTGGCCGTTGAATCTCCGCCAGCCACGTTAAATGCCAGAGAACGAAGCGTGGCCTCCACATGGCTGCGTTGAGCAGCGTGGCACGGGTGGGAAAGGTCCTGTACATGCACTATTACGTCCTGCAGAGCAAAAAGGTTTTTATATATATAACTTAATTATATAAGTGTTTTACTGACCGCCAGCATGGCATCCTCCAAAGTGGCCACAAAGCACTCAAACAGTCCCGTTGGCAAATCGGACATAAAGCCCACCGTGTCCATGTAGATCACCTCCAGATTGCACGGCAAACAACCGGCATGGGCAGTTACATCAAGAGTGGCAAACAACTGATTCCTGGGCTGCAGTGCATCCTCGACTGTGAGAGCCTTAATCAAGGAGGTCTTGCCAGCATTTGTGTAGCCCACCACTGCGACGATGGGATAATTTTGCTGCTTGCGTTTCTGCCGAAGCAACTGCCTCTGTCGCCTAACACGATCTAGTTCCGCTCGCAATTTTCGCTCCCGGGTGCGCAGAATCTCCTTTTGCAGATCGGTCAAGGCATATCCCTGGCGACGCGTCTGCGTAACACTCGCATCCTTGGCCTGCGCCCAAATGTAAGGCAGCTCAGCCATGGCTACCTATAAAACGTGACCAGTATTTAAGTTGTATTGGCGCTTAGTCAATCATTAGCAATCATAGCAACCTGCAGTTTGGCTTCAGCGCTGGTGGCATGCAGTCTTAGTATCTGTATAACAACGGAATAGCGATCCATAACTGGCAGGTGAAACTCCGCCTCCAGGAATCGTTTTTGGGCGAATGATAGCGTTCCCTTGCTGACAAACAGGCAAGTTAGCTGCCGTTCCTGTCGCAGTTCAGCGACCAGTTCCTTCAGTTCCACCAGCTTTCCGCTGCCAAAGAGGGTCTTCTTTTCGAGGTTTTCCAGGGGAACCTTAAGAGCCCTGGCCACCTGCCAGTTGGGCAGGGAGTGGATCAAGGCAGAGGCCTCCGCAAGCTGATCCTCTGGCCGAACATCGACTGGTGTGTTCTGCCGTTTTGCTGCCCATTTCACATAAGGTTGGAGGATGAGCACTTGCTGGGAGCTGGCTATGTCACGAGTGATTCTCATAGCTCCTCCAGCCACCTCGTCGTAAGCACTGAAATAAAAGGTATCTATTATCTCATAGTTTTCTTTGCTTTTCAGACCTACCGATCATCCAAGAACCGCATATCCGCCAAATCGGTACTGGCTGTCCGCTCCAAGTCCTCATCCTCCTCACTGCTTTGACCTGCCTGTATTTGGGCCTCGAAGAAGCTCTTCCTGTTGCGAATGCCCTTAACTCCTTGATGTTGGGTGTACTTGCAGCGTTCGGGAATCGCCACAATCGGACGTATTTGCAGTTTCCTGCGGGCCAATTGGGCAAAAATTCGTAGAGCTGACATGACTAAAGCTAAAATAGATTTTGAAGGTGTTAAAAAGATTCCTCCTTAAGCACGGAATGCTTGTCCTCAAAGGCCATCCACGCCGCTTGGCAGGCTTTGGTGCGTGTCGATGTGGTTTGGTAGGACACCACGGTGGCCACCAGTGAGGAGATGAGTATGTTGTACTTGATTGGGTAGCGAATTCGGGACTGTACGATCTTCTGGGCGAAATAGGTGCCGGAAAAACCTGCAATATGCGCAATTATTATGCAATTATTGAAAAACTAAAGCTAAGTACGCACCTAAGCAAAATGTGGCAAGCCCTGTGAAAAGGGAACGGGTCATGCAGTCCATGTAACCATCGAACCCGGGATGCTTCTCGCGCTGCTGATCCTTCAATCGCTTAATATCGTTCATAATAAACGGCTAATCAAATAATACAACTTTTATTTTCATTAGCTTTTTGCCGGTGCGCGGAAATCAGCTGTTTGCCAGAGATGGGTAATAGCGATTGAAATAATATCGATACTATTCGAGTATCACTTTATTTTAAAAGAAATTTAGGAAAAATCATCGATAGTAGGCTACGTAGGCGACGGTGCTCTTTTCTTGTTAAGAGCTTCATAAAAAGAGAATTTAACGGAATCATTCTGTTTTCAATTCTTTGTTTTAAGATTTCAGTGATTTCAGATTATAGTGATTCAATTTGATTTCAACCGACATTGCTCGATACAATCGCGTAAGTCAAGCCACCGATAACAGTCCGCATCGATAGCTCGTCCGGTGGCCTGGCAACCCTGAAGAGTTTAGTATACCCAACTTACAATTGCGGCGGCTTCACGCTGAAAAATAACAATTAAAGGGTCGCGAAAAGGAGTGGAAATCGAGAGGCAGGACGCTATGAAGCGCCCACGCAACCAGTAGCAGGTGAAAAGAGCTAACAAAAACCGATCTAGTGCTATTTTCGATGTGTAAACTGAACGGTTTGCGGATAAATAATAGATGTATCTTTGGTGTCGAAGCCACACACAAAAAAAAAGAGACAGACGCAGATTGCAAAAAAAAAGGCGAAGAGAGCGAAAAGAGGAAGAGCGATAGGTGGAAAGAAGCAGAGAAAGCGAAGCGAAGAACGCGCGGCAAATGCTGACAATAAAAATATCAGAACGAACGAAAAAACAAGAACATTACCTTTTGCAGGGTGCAAAAACACTAAAACAAAAAACCAGTAACGCAACAATATCGCCTTTCTTGCAGATCTTTGACGTGCTGGGCGGACAAACAGCCGGTTACCTATGGGAAAGAAAAAACCCAACGCCCGTCACACAGATGCCGCAACACCTTTGACCACAGACGACTCCAACTGCTCCGGATCCGGAAAGGCAACAGTCAGTAGCTCCAGTGATTCCGATCAGACAGTAGCCAACAGTTCAGCAAACGACGAGGATAAGGAGCCCGTTTGCAAAATACGCATTGTGCCGCTGGAGAAACTGCTGGCCAGTCCCAAAACCAAGGAGAGACCTTCCCGCAGCAGCCAACAGAATAACATTACGATCAACGATTCCAGTGACGAAGAGCCTCTAACTAAGATCGTGTTGCCGCCACGCAAAAGTCGCAACAAGAACGCTTCTATTATAGAACTAAGCGACAGCGAAGAAGGGTACGAAGACGAGGTGCCAGCACTGGTGGCCAGTTCTTTGCGGAAAGGAGCACAGCAGACCAATAAAGAGAAAAATAGCAGGAGGGCGGCCAAGGAATCGATCAGTAACCGGCATAAAGCGCAGGAAGAGGCCACAACATCCACCAGGGCAGTCAGAACCGTCAACGGCGGACGACGAGGATCCCTATCCAGCGAAAGATCGTCCAAAACCGGCTCCTCTCGAGCAGAATCACCACTGAGGCCAAAACGCTGTGTCGTGCGCTTAAAGCGAGTTAGTCTGCCCATAACTAAACCCGCCCAGAAGCCAAAAAAAATGAGCACGGATTCGGAAGAGGCGGCCACCACCTCGAAGAAGAGCAGACAAAGGCGCTCCAAAAGCGAAAGTGAGGCTGATTCAGACTATGAAGCACCAGCAGCGGATGAGGGGGAGGAGGAGCAGGAGGAGGAGAGAAAGTCGTCCGATGATGAGGAGGAGGCCGAGGAGGGGCCTAACAGCAGCGACAGCGAGGTGATGCCCCAAAGGAAGCGGCGTCGAAAGAAGAGCGAATCCGACAAGGGCTCCTCCGACTTTGAGCCCGAGGAGAAGCAGAAAAAGAAGGGTCGCAAGCGCATCAAGAAGAACTCAAGCGGCGAGAGCGATGGCGATGGCGATGATGACAAGCAGAAGAACAAGCGCAAGCACATTCGCAAGATCATCAAGACCAAGGACTTGGATCTGACAACCAAGGAGGCGGCCAAAGAGGAGGATGACCGAAGGAAGCGTATCGAGGATCGTCAGAAGCTCTACAACCGCATCTTTGTGAAATCCGAGAGCATCGAGATCAATGAACTGGTGCTAGACTTTGATGAGGATTCCAAAAAGGCCCTGTTGCAGGTGGACAAGGGACTGCTGAAGAAGCTGAAGCCCCATCAGGTGGCTGGCGTGAAGTTTATGTGGGACGCCTGCTTCGAGACGCTTAAGGAGAGCCAGGAGAAGCCCGGTTCCGGCTGCATTCTGGCCCATTGCATGGGTCTGGGCAAGACCTTGCAGGTGGTTACCTTGTCGCACACGCTGCTGGTCAACACCAGACGAACCGGTGTGGATCGCGTCCTGATCATCTCGCCTCTCAGCACGGTCAACAACTGGGCACGGGAGTTTACCAGCTGGATGAAGTTCGCCAACCGCAATGACATCGAGGTGTACGACATTTCGCGCTACAAGGACAAGCCAACGCGCATCTTTAAGCTCAATGAATGGTTTAACGAGGGCGGCGTCTGCATCCTCGGCTACGACATGTACCGCATTCTGGCCAACGAGAAGGCCAAGGGTCTGCGCAAAAAGCAGCGTGAGCAGCTCATGCAGGCCCTGGTTGATCCCGGCCCGGACCTGGTTGTCTGCGACGAGGGACATCTGCTCAAGAACGAGAAGACGTCCATCAGCAAGGCTGTCACCAGAATGCGCACCAAGCGCCGGATCGTGCTTACTGGCACCCCACTTCAAAACAATCTCAGAGAATGTAAGTATCAAGGGAAACTATAAGTTGCTTATCAGTTTCCATACATATACCTTTCGGGCATAAATTGGCCACAAGAGTCTGACTCTTATGGGTCAGTAGAGAGTCTTATCTAGCTTGCTATTAAATCGGTTTTTCCTTTTAGATTACTGCATGATCCAGTTCGTTAAGCCGAATCTGTTGGGCACGTACAAGGAGTACATGAACCGCTTCGTCAACCCGATCACCAACGGGCAGTACACCGACTCCACGGAGAGGGATCTTCGCCTAATGAAGCACCGCTCACACATTCTGCACAAGCTGCTGGAGGGCTGCATCCAGCGGAGGGACTACTCGGTCCTGGCGCCATATCTGCCGCCAAAGCACGAGTACGTGGTCTACACGACGTTGTCGGAGTTGCAGCAGAAGCTATATGGCTACTACATGACCACACACCGGGAGCAGAGCGGCGGGGATGTGGTCGGCAAGGGGGCAAGGCTGTTTCAGGACTTTCAGGATCTGCGCCGCATCTGGACGCATCCGATGAATCTGCGGGTGAACAGTGACAACGTGATTGCCAAACGGTTGCTCAGCAACGACGACTCCGATATAGAGGGCTTTATTTGCGATGAAACCGACGAGGATGAGGCTGCCTCCAACTCTTCGGACAGCTGCGAATCGTTCAAGTCGGATGCCAGTATGTCGGGATTGGCGGCCAGTTCGGGAAAGGTGAAAAAGCGCAAGACTCGCAATGGTAACGCTGGTGGCGGTGATAGCGATTCCGATCTGGAGCTGCTGAGCGGATTGGGTGGAGGACCCAGTGTCCAGAAGGATGACCCTTCGGAGTGGTGGAAACCCTTTGTCGAAGAACGAGAGCTGAACAACGTACACCATTCCCCAAAGCTACTCATCCTATTGCGACTACTGCAGCAGTGCGAGGCCATTGGTGACAAGCTGCTCGTGTTCTCACAGTCCTTGCAGTCCCTGGACGTCATCGAGCACTTTCTTTCGCTGGTGGACAGCAACACCAAGAACTACGAGTTCGAAGGTAAAGTCATCATAACATTTTGTGTATATCCATTCATAGGGAGTAATACAATTTGGTCTTTCCTTCGCAGGCGACGTGGGCGACTTCAAGGGCTGCTGGACGAGCGGCAAGGATTACTTTCGACTGGACGGCAGCTGCAGCGTGGAACAGCGCGAGGCCATGTGCAAGCAGTTTAACAACGTAACCAACTTGCGCGCCCGCCTATTCCTCATCTCCACCCGGGCCGGTGGACTCGGCATCAATCTGGTGGCCGCCAACAGAGTGGTCATCTTTGATGTCTCCTGGAATCCCTCGCACGACACCCAGAGCATATTCCGAGTATATCGCTTTGGCCAGATCAAGCCGTGCTACATTTATCGTCTGATTGCAATGGGCACCATGGAGCAGAAGGTGTACGAACGCCAAGTGGCCAAGCAGGCTACTGCCAAGCGTGTGATCGATGAGCAGCAGATTTCACGGCACTACAACCAGACGGACCTAATGGAGTTGTACTCGTACGAGCTGAAACCCAGCACCGAGCGTGAGATGCCAATCCTGCCCAAGGATCGGTTGTTTGCCGAGATACTCACCGAGCACGACAAACTGATCTTCAAGTACCACGAGCATGATTCGCTGCTGGAGCAGGAGGAGCACGAGAATCTGACCGAGGAGGAGCGCAAATCGGCTTGGGCCGAGTACGAGGCGGAGAAGACGCGTACTGTTCAGGCGTCACAGTACATGAGCTACGATAGGAATGCCTTTGGCAACCAGGTGATGGGCCAGTTCGGCAATGCCTCCGGCAGCGTGACCTCCAACAAGATCTTCGGCTTCCGGTCGGACATACTGCTGCAGTTGCTGAACATGAAGATATCGAAGGATCATCAGGAGCTCAACCAGAACCAGGTCATTCAGCTGGTGCCCACCTATCTGCAGCAGCTGTACAATGAGATGAACAACAGTGATCCCACCATGTACAAGGATCTCCTCAACCTGCACGCAAATATTGTCCATCCCAGCGGGATGTACATGAATCCCCTGCTCTACGCCAACCAGAATCCCAACGCGGCTGGCTACAACCAGGGCACTGGTGGTCCGCCCATGGCGGCCGGATCGGCGCCACATGGTCCACCCGCAGCACCTGCTCCGGGCTTCGAGCCGGATAAGGTATACGAGATCGACTAAAATACAAATACCCGAATCGAACCAATGCAGTGGTTACACTCTTTAATTTAATCGTAGGTAATTCGTCGACCTTGTCGATATTTCCTTTGGACTAAAGTTACAAATGTGGTTTATCCTATCTAATTACAATTACCAATTACCCATAACCGAGCGCATAAGATTTTACTTTCGTCAACTCAGTTAAGTTCAAAACTGTCCTAATTCATGTGTAGACTTACATTAGATACAAGTAAAACAACAAAAAGTAAAACGAAATATACAGCATATGATTTAAATGCATATTTACACGATATAGATCTTGGCTATATACAAACATTCTGCGGATCCGGCTAGGAGATGCAGACAATTATTTAACACGCGACATAAAGATAACAAAAATAATAAATGGCACAGATATTATAATAAATGCGTAACCATTTTTCTCCACCAAACTTAATGTTTTGCAGATATGGGATTTTAAAATCAGTTTATTTAACTACACGATATACAAGTAGACTAATCCAGGTCTATACAAAATTACAAGCTAAAAGGAATGCATTTCCTGTTCATTTGGGTGGCATTTGTCTGCCCATCATGCGGAGCTGCTGCATCTGCTGCGCCTGCAGCATGTGCTGTGGACTGGGTTGCATGGGTCCGCCGGGTTGCATTGCGCCCGGTGGCATTCCGGGCATCATTCCTGGTCGCGGCGGAGCACCGCCCATGGGTGGCATTCCGCCACCGGGACCCTGCAGCATGCCAGCGCCGATGGGCGGCGTGGGGCGACTGTGAACGCCCTGCTGGATGTCCGACAGGCAGGCCTTCCACTCCTCCAGGCGGTTGTAGTGCTTCTGGAGAAGCGTCTCCTTGCGCTGAATCTCGATGCTCAGGTCCTGATTCTCGTCCTTGATCAGCATGTAGGGCTTCAGCGTGGAGACGAGAAAGCGCTTCTGCAGGAAGAACGCCTCCATTTGGCGGGCCACGTCTATGAAGCGATTGGTGGTCTTCTGTACCTCCAGATCGATTTCCTCCTTGTTTGTCCCGGAATTCGGTTCCTGTTTGGTCAGCGACAGCAGGCACGACTGGAAGGCCTCCTCGAACTCGTCCATCAGGTTACCGCCGCCGGGCTCGTTGCTGGCCATGATTTCGTGTGCTTGGCAGTTGAATACGCAATTAAAGATAAATAACTTCGCCGGTTCAGCGGCAGCAACAAAAAATTCAGCAGCACAATTTCAGCAGCGGCAATTTCAGCAGGGTTGCTACGTTTTGCAAAGTGCTGTAGTGATGACTTATCGATAATGAGTGGTAGCATACGATAAGCAGACATTCATCGATAGATTCTATCGCGACTTGCATGCGGCTGTTTATGTAAACAAAAAGTTCGAAAACCAAATGATTACTATTTGTCCGCTAAGATGACTGCCCGAATGATCCAACGCGGCCTGCACACCGCTCGCTCCTGCCTGTTGGCCAGAGTTCCTCGTCGCGCCAATCCTGGACTGGGCTACCAGCTGGAGCAGCTGCAGGAGCATCCAGCAAAGGGCAGCGAAGCAAGCGAGGATTACGCCGATCTGGAGTCGGATTTCATGGACGTGCAGAAGACGCATCGGCAATACGAGAAGGAGCAGCAGCAGCACCGCGATCGCATCCGTCAGTTTATGATAAAGCACAAGTATTTCCGGGACGCCAAGTTGCCAAACCTCTTGCTCCATGCCGAAAAGGAGCAGATGCGCCTGCTCCACGAGCGAGATCCCGAGGAATGGAGCGTGGAGCGGTTGGCTGAAAGTTTTCCCGCCACTCCGGACATTGTGCAGAAAATTCTGAGGGCCAAGTGGCGACCAAGAAGTGTGCAAAGGATACGCTCCCACGATGAAACTGTTGTTAAAAACTGGCAGCTAATAAGGGCGGGAAAGGGTGACTTTAGTATCCCACCTGCTCTCTACCAGCATCTGAAGAAATTCGCCGAGCGAAGGCGGCAGGATCTGCGGGAACTAAAGACGCAGGATTGGCCCACAAAATCCCAACTACCCACTCCGCAAGTCAACGAATTCCGCAAGTTGCTGGGCAGCAGTAGTTCCACACCGGAAGAGACGCCTCCACCACAAATCACATCCGGCTATGAAGCACCACCCTCTGCTGCGGAAGATGAAACCTATTTGCTGGATAAAATCCGTAATAAAAAGAAGATGCGCCTGCAGGAGCTTAAGGAACTGCAGCTCGTTGAGCCCGTGCCTACAGTTCCAGAGGAACTAAAGCGACCCATCGAGAATCCCAGTGGCACCGGCTTTCTGCCCAGCTTCGTGCCCAAGTTTGCGAGTAGCGAGATTGTGATCAGTGCCGCCGACCAGCGCAAGTATGAAATAACCCAGTTGAAAACGCGCATTGTTATTCCCCGGAAACTGCACCGCCAAGGAGCCACGTACCGTGTGGAGGATGCCTACTACGACGACGACGGGGAGCTGCTCTACCGAGTGCCTGGAATGACCAGAGCCAATTGATGTCACTTTTAAGAAATATTTATTCGAAAAAAGAGCATTCTTTAAGTTGTAAATTTCAAAAATTGTTAATCACAAGCATTGCCATCATTGTTTGTATACAAAAATATATAAATCATTTGATGCACAGATTCCTAGTCACTTCATGGTCAGTGGTTGAAGGCGGTGGCGATCAAATCGCTGCCCGCCATTAGAGAGTCGGATGCCACGGTTATTTGGGCACCTGTTAGCTTCGCCACAAAATCGCAGGCGGCGATTTCCGCATAACTGGCTCCGCCCACAATAAAAACAAAGAGATTCCTGAGATGCAAGGGGAAAACATCGTGGTCTGCAACACCGTTTGTCTTCAGTTGGCTGGCAAAGGCCTTGGGCGTGGTTCTTCCGCTGTCCAGATGAAGATGCAGTCCCTCAATCATGCCCAGTTTCGAGGATAACTCCTCAGCTGTATTGGTTTTCAGCAAAATGGAGCAGAGCTGCGCCACCAATGGTATGTAGGTGCCATTGAACACAAAACTGGGACATGACTGAAAGCCACCAGCTTGGCTCCTGGAGGAGGAAGCCCCATCCTGACCATCTCCACTAGTGGTAAGCAGCTTTAGCCGGTTAGCATTGGCCTGGAACTCGGTTTGCTGGAACTTGGGCAGATTGGGGAGATTTGAGAGCAGTTTGGTTGGCGCCTTTTTCTCCACCACAAGTGGTGGCAGTAGGCCTGCCTGCGACAACTGCTGGAACACACCCAATTCTTGGTGTCCAAACAGATTGCAGTAGTTCCTCGCAAAGATCTGCAGCTCCTCGGGCGCCACGCCAACGCAGTGATGCAAAAGGCACAGCAATCGCAGAGTATTAAATCTCTGACCATCAGTGGTCAACAGCTCGTCGATCTCGCTCAGCAATCGCTTCCTTGAATCATTGTTTAGTATGTCCTCTTCCAGGGTTTGAAGCTTCCTGAAATTTCCCATCATTTGGATCACAATCTCGCTGGCATTTAGGTGCCTTAGGACTTTGCTTTTGAGCTCGGTTAGTTTGGGCAGCTTTCTGGCCACATAATCGTGCATCTCGTCCAGCTGCATGTCATTGAGTTTCTGCAGCTCCAATCCCAGGGCTTTTACTTGTGCGTGAATCAAACTGCTGACCTGTGCGAACCGCTTGTACCGATTATCGCCGTAGATCTCATCGGAGGTGGAGTTAAGGCGAATGGAACAGGGCTTGCTGGCTGAGTTTACGCCTGCTTTGGACTTCTTTCCCTGGAGCAACTCCACGCGCTGGCTGCTGATCTTGTTCTTCGAATTGTCTACCAGAATCTCGCCGGAACGTTGCTGGAAAACTTCTAAAAGAAGACCTGCATAGATGGCCGGAGTGAGCAAGCTGGCGGGGTAATCCTTATCCCGATCGATAACCAGCCAACCGCCATAGTCCGGTGGATTTGTGGGTGCCGGCAGTTTGCCAAGGGTCTTCATCATTTGCATTAGCTGCGACGAGTGGTTACCGAAGCTCAGAATCACAGACGGTTGTCCGCAAATCATCTGAAGCAATCGCAAGCTCTGGGCCACCGAAGGCAATGGAGATGTGTTTCTCTGGAGGTAGAGGCACTCATACAACTGAAAAATACGATATCCAATATAAAAACTTTCTCGGACTATTATAAGTGCATCTACTGACGTTGGGCAGCTCCAAGCTAAGAACTCCCTGGTCGAAGTAGATGAAGTCCCAGTTAAAGTGATGAAGTTGCACCAGTCCGTAGAGCCCAGCTTGTTCCAGCAGGGTTTGGAAATAGGAGTAGCAACTGGGCACGCAGACTATGTGGTACATTTTCATGGATATGTCCGGCATTTCCTCCAAGGCCACTGGTTGCAATTGCTTGAGTAGTTTCTGAAATGTGCCCAAAACACTGCGGATCATGTAGATGTGCACCTGATCAGCGGATCGGGGTAGTGATTGTGCGGCATCATGTTTGTAGATCCTTTGTATGCCCTTCAACCTGTAAGGCGTACATACAAGTCGTACATATCTATCTATATCTATAGATTAAACACCTACTTCAGCCAGGAGGCAGTGACAACATGTTCCAGTGGCTTTATCAAGTCGGGCTCCAAAATCAACTCCTTTTTTCCAGGTATGGAACATAGTATGGAACACAGCTGCAGTTGATTTACAGATAGTTAATAGTTTTACTCCTCTGACGCACTGTTTCACCTTTTCCTGGGCCACCAACTGGAATCCCTGCAGCTTTTTGTCCAGCGTCAAATCCATTCTTCGCCGCACAACACGAACAGCTGATGCAGCAAGGTAGCAATTGTAAGGTGACGCACGCAAGCTGCAATAAGGTTGTCACAACTCAAACTTCAATAGTTTTCAATTTGTTCATTATCATGGTTATCATGGTTAAATAAGCAGTTTTACTAGTTCTTTTATATCATATATTTGACAACGACTCTGAAATATAGCAATTAATTGTACACATGAACAAAATATAACATAATTGTAGAGTCTCTCATAAAACTGTTTATTGCGCACAGTGTGATACAGTGGAAATTGTGGCTGAAGTAAAAACTTATGTTCGAGATCGAATGCCTTTATAAGGGACCGCCTGGTTCGATTGTACTCCTCTACCGCTTTCGACCCACGGTGCGCAGTCTGGTCGCACACGAACTATCGAACCGGTTCGCTGTGCGCTCCCATCTCTAGTCGGGTATTTAAGCGCGTTTCGCTGCAAAAATGTCAGTTTCGTTCCAAATTCCGAAGCGAGAGGTTGTCGTGGGAGGATATTGCGCGCGCTCTGTTTGCATTTATGTGTTTTTATCGTGATTCTGTCGACCGAAATCATATGTTTTTAGCCAGGAGAGAGACGATTGCCAGAACAGCAGCAAAACGGGCGGAGTTCTGCGGTGGAAAATTGAAAATTAGCAAGCGCACAACACACACACAGTGATTGGGGCGAATTAAATAGGAATCAAAATATGGTTAGCCATTCGAAAAGCGTGTAATAAAATCGTGAAGAAAAACCAGAAAACAAATTTGTTATCGCTCTCCGTCTCTTTCTCTCTCCCATTCTCGCTGCGATTTGCTCTCCGTGTGTTTATGTCTCAGCTGTCCAAGTGTGTGTGCGGCCCGTGTGCGTGTGCGAGTGTGTGTGACGTATGTGCGTGCAAGTGCTTGTGATTTTATGTTGTTGTTTTGCCTGCTTTCGCGTGAAATTCAACAACAACAACCACAGCAGCAACAACAAGCAAAGCAACAGCCAACAACAAATTTAAATTGAGATCCTCCATAGAATCCAAGCTTACAGGCGCCTATTTTCCAGTCATCAGGTGAGCTTGCACTTACTTTGTTTATAAATAAATTGTTTATGGCGTATGTGGGTGAAACTGTGCGAAAATATCTGAAATATTTAATCTAATGACAAAAATAGCCGTGCGGTCTGGTTTGTTGTTGTTTTCTTTTTTTTGGGCAATTGCAGCTTGTTGCATGTACTCGGCTTCCCTTTTGTGCCGCAGATTCGTCTCTTCTTTGCCACTCTCTCCTTCTCTCCCTGTCCTGGTTGCAGTTTTACATTGTTGCCTTTGTCAATCATTATCTTTGTGATTTCGTTTCGTTTTGTTTCGTTCTGTTTTTGTTTTAGTGGCTAACATTATTTTCTTATAGTCCGTGTCTGTGCTTGTTCGCGTTTTCTTTGCGGTTCAATTGTTGTTGCGATACCGGTTTGAGCGGCTATCTCGCTCCGGCACGTTGCACAGGTTGCCGTTTAGTTTACTTTTAGTTTCTCTATTCTTTGCGCTCCCGTGCCGTCTAATCGCATCTTCTTCTTCGCGCTCATCTTCCTAATTCCGTTCGTTCGTGTTGTTCTTCTTGCCCCTCCCAATTTTGCTTTTTTTGTCTGTGTCTCCCTCTCTCCCATTAGAAATGAGTTTTTGCTATCGGTTCTATAATTTATTGGCCTTTCGATTTATTTAAAAGTTTAATTTTTACCCAGGCTGTTCAACTTTTGTTAATTGCCAAAAAGTTTTAAAATGTTTTTAAGTAGTTTAGCTTAGAACAGGTTTTTCAACAGTATTTTTTGTTAGGCGAGTTTCGCTACAATGTTTTAACAAAATCAGATTTATAATTTATTAATAGAAATCCCAAATAATGTATGTAATGTTTGCGATCATATTATTTTTCTATTCATTATTGTAAGTTTGTTCCCGAAAGTGCGAGAAAGTTTAGTTTCAGTACGCAATCTGGCACTTAACAAATTTGAAGCGAATGTTTGTATTTTCCTGTATACATTAGCATTAATTAAAAATAATTCCCGTGTGCTGGAACCGAATGATGCGACATTTTATTACTCATAAGAGCTGTTAATCTTTAGTTTGTTTAAAAAAGATGGGGTTCGTGCCAAAAGAAAATTCCGCTTAGGTTATCGAGGCCGTCGGGGTTTCTCAATTCGATTTCTATTGCAAGATGGGTTCACTCGCCAATAAAAACATTAATAAGGCAGCCAGCAAAGCAAAGCGAAATAATTCATTTGCATTTACATAGGTAAATAAACAACACCATCGCCCGAAGGTGATTCCAATCCCAATTCCAATCGCCCCCATAAATTCTCTTGCCAAAGTTCGGCACTAATTAAAGCCTGAAACAAATTACGCATCTACGGGGAGAAAAACGGAACAAGAACTTGTGCAAACAGCCATGATTTTGAAAAAAGAAAACGGAAAGCATTTTTGCAACGTGCGTTGCTCTTGGATATTTTTTTTCTTTTATTATTCCATACCGCCCCCATCCATTCAATCTACAATTTTTCCCCAAAAAGATTCTCGTTTTTGTTCGCCGTGTGGAGGCGTGTGAATTTTGGTCGGTTTGATGTCTGTTTTTGCTCTGCTCATTTCCACGCTCACACATCAAACCCAATTAGTATTGTTCTTTTGTTGTCATACGGCAAATATTTCCATTTGTCTGTTTGTGCACATATACGAGTTTGTATGTATAAATTGCTTTGTATTAGCTTCGTTCCACTCGCCTTCGATCTCTGGTGTTTGGCGTAAGTTTGTTTAAAAATGTAATTACTCCCATACTTTGCGGTTCTATTTTTGGACAGCTTTTTTGTCGGTACTTTTGGACACATGTGGCTTATTTGCGCATT